AAAAAAATGAGTTCGCGTGTCACCTCTGACAGGCGTGTCATAGGTTCACCATCACTGTCCTAGAGGCTCTCCGTCCAGGTTCTGGTGGTCAGCAGCCGTCCTGGTGTTACTTGCCTGTGATGTCACATGCTGTTCCTCCCTCCTGTCCCTTTGTCTCTCTGTCTTCACGTGGTGTTCTTGCTGTGGGTTCCATTTCTCTGTTTTCTTATAAAGACTTACTGGATGAGGGCTCACCCTAATCCAGTATGACCTCATCTCAATTTAACTGGTTATATCTGCAGAGATCCTATTTCCAAATAAGGGCACATCCTCAGGTTCCAGGTAGCCATGAATTGGGGGGAGGGGACACTTCAACCCAGTGCAAAAGGAAATTTTCTTTCTATCCATTGGCTCGTATCATCCTGCTTATTTCCTTTAATAGGATTTTTCCAATCTAATTTTTTTTTTACCCGAGGATATGTTTTCCATTGATTTCTACAGAGAGTGGAAGGAAGGAAGGAGGGGAAGAGAGAGAAACATCGATGTGAGAGAGACACATTGATTGGTTGCTGGGGCTGGGAACCTGCAACTAAGGTACGTGCTCTTGACTGGGAATCAAACCCGCGACCCTTCAATCTGCAGGCTGACGCTCTAATCACTGAGCCAAATTGGCCAGGGCCAATCTGAAATTTTTACTTGCCTACTTCACTCAATAAAAATGTATTGAGGGCCAAGGGTGTAAAGTAGTGACAATACAAAGTCCCTGCTCTCGTGGACTATGCATTCTGGTCCATGAAGACAGACAGATGTATGTATTAGGGTTCTACAGGTTTGGGCAAAAGTAGGTGTACAGCTGTTCATATGGAAAATAATACAATAATTGGTCTACAGGCTGACGCTCTAATCACTGAGCCAAATTGCCCAGGGCCAATCTGAAATTTTTACTTGCCCACTTCACTCAATAAAAATGTATTGAGGGCCAAGGGTGTAAAGTAGTGACAATACAAAGTCCCTGCTCTCGTGGACTATGCATTCTGGTCCATGAAGACAGACAGATGTATGTATTAGGGTTCTACAGGTTTGGGCAAAAGTAGGTGTACAGCTGTTCATATGGAAAATAATACAATAATAAATAATAGTACAAGAAGAAAATGTGTTTTGTGTACTCACAACTGTGAGTGAGTGAGTGTGTGTGTGTGAGAGAGATATGTGGATAGATAGATGGATATATATGTGTGTGGGTTTATTATTACAGAGAGAGATTTATTTTAAGGACTTGGTTCATGAGACTGTAGAGACTGGTTCCAGAGACAAGAGGGCAGAAATGAAGTCCACACAATCCATTAACTCAGCAGAACTAGACTAGCCCCTGTTCCCGCATGGTGTGCTGTCTTCACCAGCATCCCCAGGAGGTTGAGGGACTCTTGACTATCGCCCATTTCTGACAAGGTGACAACTTATGTTCTGGATTCTCACTTCTCCTCCAGTCCATTTTCTGTGGCTGTGTATCCTCTTCCGTCTCTAACATCACTGAGGGCCACACTGGACTGGGAGCTGTGGGGAAATGACTAAACCAGAAGGAAAGTCGTATCTATGGAGTCATGTTTTGCTTTATAAATAGTTTTGGTGATATATGAGGATGGAACTGTTTCCACAGTCAAGTTCTCTTGCTTTTGTGTTTTTTCACTGTGATCCATGGGTGTTCTTGGCTCTTTCTGCCTTGCCTGTCTCCCTCACTGAAACCCAGTAACGTGCTGGATCTGCCCTGAGTCGGCTCGGGGACGGCTGTCAACCGTGTTACCCCCAGCATCCTGCAGATAATACACAGCATCTCGCTAGGCTGCCATCGCGCCCTGTAATTGAAAGATCATGTGATGTGGAATACTTTCCCCTGTACCCACGGGGCCACTGATTTACGATTCAGTGAAAGTCTCAGCCAAAACCAGGGAACGTAGAGATGACTGCAAGAGCCGTATGCCGGTAACTGGCCTCTGAAAAGTCTGGAAGAGAGAAGGTAACACAAGTTGAATTAGGCTCAGATCATTCAGAAAGGAAATAACAGCTGCAAAACATTCCGAACAGAGGTCCCTTCAAAACAGGCTTCCCGGGACAGCAGCCAAGTATAGTTTCTTTCTGGGCTTATTCGACGGTGTTGTTGGCGGTAGAGGTTCAACACCACGGGCCAGATTGACACACTTTATGTATAAATATTCACACGAGGTGGGATGAAAGCCTCTGGGTTAATATGATTTGGTTTGGGTGTTCCAAAAAAATAAAAAAGGATAGACTTTCCCAGCTACACTGGCATCCTTCTATCACGGTTAAAACCCGGGATCGTGGAGGGGTCGCTTTCTCTTAGCAAGTCTTAGTTGAGTCATCAACACCCGCTTGGTTGCCTCTGGGTCTTCCTCTGGTCAGTTCTTTGATTACTGGACTTGAAGTTCCACTCAGTGGCCTGTCCATGGTCAGGTGGGACTGGAGGGCTACAGCCACGTTGTTCCCCTAAACCAGGGGTGGGCAAACTTTTTGACTCGAGGGCCACAATGGGTTCTTAAACTGGACCGGAGGGCCAGAACAAAAGCATGGATGGAGTGTTTGTGTGAACTAATATAAATTCAAAGTAAACATCATTACATAAAAGGGTACGGTCTTTTTTTTTTAGTTTTATTCATTTCAAATGGGGCGGACCCGGCCCCACGGGCCGTAGTTTGCCCACGGCTGCCCTAAACCCATTTTCTGGAGAGGTATATGGGCAGCTCACAGGCATTGCTTCCTCAGGCAGATCAGTCTCTTTTTTGCCTTTGTCTTGATTCCAAGGTCCCAGGTGAGACCAAGAAATCTGGTGACTGTTCTCAGGGGAGTGTTGCCCACACCCCCAGAATCACTATGGAGGGGATCTCATCCTGTCTGCACAGAAGGGGCCTTAGAGAAGTGAAGGGCCACCCTCTGAGGGAATAGGGAATCTGCACCTGACAACCCAAAATACCAAGCACCCCATTACGAATCTGCCTCAAGTCTGCAATTCTCACCACTAACTTCCCTTCTTAGGGACCATTCACTCACTACAGCTCTTGGTTATGGATACTGGTTTACCCAATAACCAGCAGGTACATGCAGACGTTAATCATCTGACTCCATGTTAAGATCCAACAGGAAGCAATTTGGAGAGAATTAGTGAGATAAAGTGAAGAGAAAGGAACAGATCTAATCTGAGAGCTAAACTCAGGCATTGCTAGTTCCCAGGGAAGGCGGGTGGGTTATAAAATAAGCCAAGACAGCAACCCATGAGCTATATTATCTCCAATGCACTTTCTCTTTCAATACAATGAATGTTCTCTCCACTAACCATAATTT